CACACACACACGCACACGCACACGCACACGCACACACACACACACACACTTACACACACACACACACACACACAAACCACACGCACAGATATTATACACACATACTCCCTCACACATCCTTTCTTCCTCGCACATAATACACACGTAAACACATAATAATAATACTATATGCTTACACTCACAAACAGGCCTACAGTCACACAGTTATGAACTTAAAATGTGATACAAAACTAAGCCAGTAATTTAGCTAACGAGCATATTGAAACGTTGTACATTCATTGGTCGTTTTTAAGCACGAGGGGGCTATCCCGACAAATGCTGTTTTTAGAAAATCGAAGGTAAAGTTTTGCCCCTTGTTCAGTTTCTTTAAAAGACAAGGGGAGTTTTCTCTATAACCAAACAACTATACACTGTCTGTCTGTCCGTCTGTCTGTCTAGATTATTATCTGTCTGTCTGGGCAAATATATTTTTTTAGTTTAGTTTTAGTTGAAGTTTTACGGCGCTCGCAACTGCATACGGTCATATGAGCGCCAGAAGATTAGAAGTGTTACAAGGGGGTAACATACATAAAAAAGAAGAAATACGATAGGTGTTTGATAGGAAAGAAGAAGCAAACCATAGGAGGAGAGATTAGTTTTTTTGTAACAGTTTTACGGCAACACATTAAGGTCATATAAGCACGGAAGAATAGATGTGTTACAAGAGAGTAACATGCACAAAAAGAAGGAGGAGAGATAAGGACGATTGAAGTTTGATAGGAAAGGAGGAGCATACCACACCAGAACACCCGCCAACCACCCATTCGGTATGAAGTAAATATTGGAAAAAAAAAGCCAGAAGAGATACATAAAGTATGTTCCATTGTTTAAAAACAACAAAAACAAAACAAAACAAAACAATACAATACATTTTTTTAAAAAACCAACACAATTTCCACTCTCCTGAAAAATTTGGCGTTCTGGACTTGCTCTTGTCAGGGGGAATTCTCAAGTAAAACTCCAAGCCTGTAATTCTTTAAAGCCACAATTAGTTATCTCGAGCTCTTGTGGGTCGATAGTGTATATTTATTCAACTTTTAGTTTTAGTAAGTGTTTTTGTTAAGTTTTAGTAGAGGTTTTACGGCGCTCGCAACTGCATAAGGTCATATGAGCGTCAGAAGATTAGAGGTGTTACAAGAGAGTAACAAACATAAAAAAGAAGGAGGAAAGATAAGGACGATAGATATTTGAGAGATTAGTTTTTTGTAACAGTTTTACAGCACTTGCAACACAGTAAGGTCATATAAGTACGGAAGAATAGATGTGTTATAAGAGAGTAACATGCACAAAAAGGAGGAGGAGAGATAAGGACGATTGAAGTTTGATAGGAAAGGAGGAGCATACCACACCAGAACACCCGCCAACCACCCATTCGGTATGATGTAAATATTGAAGAAAAAAAAAGCCAGAGGAGATATATAAGTATGTTCCATTGTTTAAAAAAAACAATCAACAAAACAAAACAATATAAAAAATATTTTCCGAAAAAAAAAGAAAAAAAAGAACCCAAAATGTTCCTCTCTCCCGAAAAAAATGGGCTTTCTGGACTTAGTATATGTGAGCAGCCGGCTGGTGGTTTACAGTATTGCTCGTGTCAGAGGGAATCCTCAAATGAAATTCCAAGTCTATAATTCTTTAAAACCACAACAGTCATCCTGAGCTCTCATGGGTAGATAATGTATATAATATCATTATAACTAATAAGAAACAACACAAAATTCAAACAGTCATTTAAAAATATTTGTGTGTGCGCAAACATAACAATCGCACACAC